AGTTATATTTGTTTAATGTACAACTCCAATCATTATAATCCTAAGAGATTCTAAACTACTATTCAGCAAGTTAATACTCAAATAAGTATGAATAAGATTTGTACTCTAACTTCACAAGATGAACAAAAATTATTCACTAGCAATTCGTCTAATATAAGCATTTCAATATAAAATGAATAATATTAATCTTCACAGATTAATTAGATTAATCCCAAAAGCATCAAGATTAATACTCTCCTTACTATATTTCTTTATAGGGAGTTGTAATGATTCTATAGGAGGTATAAAGAAAGAAATAGCTATACTTGAATTTATATAATAATAGAATTATTTATCTGATAACTATATTATAATCTTCTCAAATAATACTGAATAATATCATTAAGGGCAAAAGATAGTTGGCTATAGCTATATAATCTACCAGGGATAATTTCCAATAGTATCCGGTTATAAAACAATCAACCTGCTTTTGTATATCTTTAATACTGAGGTAATAGGTATTCTAAAAGATTTAGAGTGTATTATCTGACTAAAGCCAGTTGGATAGATCACTATATATATCGATAGTACCTTAATCATTTAATATATTAGGAGTAATGCCTCTGACTTATCCCAATAGGCATTTCTATATTATCATGAGATTATAAGGAATAAGTAAGTAGTAATCCAATAATTATTTGAATATACTGGAATTCTTGGAAACGAGAAAGTTGATCGACTCGCTAATCTAGATACTCATAACAATTATATCGAAAACAACAATTCATTGCTCCCTATTATTAGTAGAATAAGCTCAATAATCAAAACTCTTAAATAAAAGGCAAAATAGAAATAATGGAAGCGAAATGAGATTACTCTTATTAGTTGATATTATTACTAGCATTTCAGCTATCAAGTTAAGGAATCTAAGGAACTTGCTCTCCCCCATTTTATTCTTTAGTGATTGGTAGCACTTAAAATCGGATATAGGGATTTTATATTCTATCATTAATACTTTCAGTACAATAATACTATCTCAGAATACTCTTATGGATATAGTAAAGAGTTTGAGCACCTAATGTTTTACTGATATTCTTATATCCAATTCAACAATTGGCTGAACAAACCCAGTTTAATTTCGTAAGATATAAAAAATACAATCGACTATTTCTCTTTTCTTCTGAAAACCCTAATAGATTTCATAATTTTCCTAACAATTACTAATCACTTCAAGCAATCATACTCAGTCTCTTCAGAAATCCTTTGATCTCCTACTTTTATATTGCTAATTAGGGCTGCACTCCTTTTTGAAGCTGTTTTCCCTCTTCCATTACTATATATAAACTATATTAAACAAAAACTGATAATATAAAGCTCTCTAGTCAACTGCAAATCTAAACTATCCAGTATAAAGTGGGTTGAACAACACCAACATTGTAAATAGGAGACAAGCAGCAGAAACACATACAACACTCCTGGCCACTTCTCCTCTGGCCTGCATCACAGCTATAGAAGAACGGAACGCGTGGCTATACCGGCACCCCACTAGCATAGTCCATCCCTAGTACCCCCTAGGAGGTCGTGGCGAGCCCCTGCAGCTTGCCCCCTGGATGTAAATTAAAATAAATAAATAAATAAATAAATAAATAAATAAATAAATAAAGAACTATGTTACTTCTTTAAATACATTATAAATAACCGAAAATATTCAGATTAACCCCTTACCCTTATAGAAATACAATCTAACAAACAGATAATTATATATATCAAAAAACTCTTATATATATCTAATAAACTTACTCAGTTGATTATTAACTCAAAATTTTATATTCAAATCTATTCTAACTATTAAAGAATCTTTAAAAAACAACAATCTTTTTAACAAAACTTATTACTTACCCTTTATAAACTTTTCACTTAATTAATTATTTAAATATATTATATTTCTAAAAACTACAAATCTAATATATAATACAAGAATCCTATTATTCGATTAACAAATAATAACCCACTTTCGCTTCTTCTCCTTTACTATAAAGATCGAAGTCTATAATGAGCCTATCCTACCCGAAAACCAAGCTCTACTTCAACAATAATAACGGTGATATGGGGAATGAGAGGCACAGCCTCTATCACATCGCAGTGGGCTTTCCTTAAATGTCATAAACTAATGCAAACACACTCGATCTAGATCAAATGATCGTCAGGTTATACAGGGATCGAAAGGAATGAGCGTGTGGATGTACTTACTAACAAAGGGATAAGAAAATCAGCCTCAGGGTATACAAATCGATTTACAATAAATGATATCTGCTTTATAGCAAAAACTATTATGAAATCGGCAGTATAGGTGTAATGAATCAAATAGAAACCAATACTCTCTAAACAGTATCAGAAATGGAATCCAAGGAGTACAAACAAATGCCCTAATAAACTAGAATTCTTATAAGCTACTTTTTATTGCATGTTAGTAATCCACTCAGTACATAGTGATTTCGAAAGCTATTATTGATAATTTAAATATAAGAAAGCAACAATTCATTGCTTATGTAATGTATACAAATCCTTCGAGCATATTATACACTGCTTCAAAGTCCTCGCGATCTACAAAACCTGGCCCCCAGATATCAGATCCAAATACTTACTCCGCAATTAGACCAGCTCAAAAACGACTACTGAAACAACTAATGTATACACCAGCCAAGTTCACTGAATTTATTGCTATAACAAACTTCTATAGGAGTATATGCTCTAGAACATTATCAGAAGAATAGAAAAAGAAAATGGAAATGGATCGACCGATCCAAGTGAACATAAATATAGAATAGGAGGCAACCAATATAGCAAGGCTATAAAGAACAAAATCAATATATACAATACACTATATTACACTAGAATATATACAAAAACTACCCTTACAGGATTAAGCAGCTTTCAATCAAAACATTATATAAAAGATTGAAAAGCGTGTACGGAGGCGCTTAGAGGATCGGAGACAAAAGCGCAAGCGCGCTAGCTATCGCTTGAGAGGCTACTGAGGGTATTGAGATCTCATTTTTAGGAAAAGGGGATCATGTAAATTAGAGATTATCCCGCAGTTAGCCCAACCGTAATGCCCCCTGGGAGGTTCGCCTATACGGCCCGGTTGAAAATTACTAATAATAATAATAATAATAATACTTCAACAATAATTCGGATTAAACATTCCCTTCTAGAACAAAAGCGGATTATACTTATAGAGAAGCAAATAGCCCCTAGCATTGAAGTTAAATTACTAAATTCGATTATAATAATCACACTACTCAAATAGTTCCTTATCTTAGTATATCTAAATACTCTTAGAAAGGTTCAAAACAGATATTAATTAATATAAATAAATAAATAAATAAATAAATAATTTTATAATATAGAATTATATTATACATATATTATTTATCAAAACATCTTTTAATTAGTAAGATATTAATAAATGACTTAGCAGATTTATTATAAAGTTTCATATATTTCCTTATTTATTTATTTATTTATTTATATTAATATCACGGAGGTAATAGCTATGTCTAATGGTCACTTTGATCAGGAGATAGGTATATAGAGTGATAATAAACTAGATTGACTTGAGGTGTGATCATAAGGATCATACCTGCTTTATATACCCTGATCAGGCGATGGAGTCGCCTAATTAGGTATATAGGGTATACAAATGAACTGAGTGAAATAGTTTTAGTAATCATGGGAATGAGTACTCCGGAGGAGTACTAGGATTAATACCGTAGGGTTACACTATACGGTGAATTCCGTGACAATTAATTAATATCTATTTTGAATCTCCCTAGAAGTATTTAGATATACTAAGATAAGGAACTATTTGAGCAGCGTGATTGTCGCAATCGAATTTAGCAATTTAACTTCAATACCAGGGGCTGTTCGCTCCTCTACAAATGCGATCCGCTTTTGTTTCCAGAAGGGTACATCTGATCCGGATTGTTATTGGGGTGAAGCTTGATTCCCGGGTGGATAGGCTCGTTGTGGGCTTCGATTCATATATATTTCCTTATAAATATATTAAATCAACCTTATTATATATCTTAATCTACATTGATTTGATTTGCAAATTCAATCAATTTAGTGTAAGCTAATGGTTTAGTAAGATTATTAGTCTTTTAATTACTAGTAGATATATCAATTATGTCTAATTCTTCAAATTTAATAATATCTTTAATATAGTAGAATCTGATTGTTATATACTTAATTTTTTTGTGAAACATAGGGTTTTTAGTAATTATTAGTGTGGCCTCATTGTTTATATATAACTTACTTCTAGTCAAGTTACGTTATAATTATTGTTTGGGTTTAATCTAGTGTTCTTCTGACCTGGCAACGCCCGGTCGAAGACAAATGCATTCCGCCTTGCTTTCGGTGCAGTCTCTCAAGGGTAAAGAGTCAGAGTCGGGCCATATCACGTTGCTAATCGCCTGATATTGAGGTTCCTTTCGAGAGAGTAATAGCGTCAAGTACAGGTTGGAAAGGAGGTGTTTTTTGGAGCGTTTCTTGAATAACCACGCGAGAGAGGTGCTGTCAATTCTGATCAAAGCACATGCCTCCTGTCTGACCATTCAATATCACGTGAGATGTGCTTTTCATTTACCCTTAGCTGGATGATCACGAGGTATGACACTTTGCATCACATAGTAGTAGAATATAAATTCTCAACAACACGAAATCAATCAGCTGCTGAGCCAGACCTGTTTCGGTTGTCCTTCCTGATCGTTTCGGCTCTGATTTGGATATGTCTTTGTTGCGCGCGCAACAGTTGGCTTGTCGAAACTCAAGTGTTTTTCGTGGCCGCTTTGCTTAGCCAGCTGCTGCACCAGCACCTGAGACATGAAGAGCACCATTCGGACGATTTTTTTTGTCTATTTACATGTGCCAGTTGATAAATACTTTCCTATATTATGAGGCTCGGACCACCACTCATTCTGGTGGCCGGAATGAAAGTCGACTAGAAGAAAGTCCCCCTCTCAAAGTTTGACGTTAGCAACCTCAAAAGTCATTACTGTATTCTTATTGAAATATGACCAGAACATTTTTCCACTAATATGAGTATCAACATAATTCCTATACCGGTCTCCACTTCCGATCTGCGTGCTCCATCTCTGGATTAAGGCACCATCGATACCCGGTTGGCTAAATTGCGAGAGGTCGAAATTAAGGTACTGAGCAGACCCCCAATTGACTGCAACGATAATCAACTTCTGATTGCCTGTGTCATAGGCTGCAACGACGTTATCACTTCCGCCATCTAGGATCTGCATTCCCGCGCGAATATGCCTTGTAAATTGCGCCAAGACGAAGTACTTTTGAGATACTGCTCCAACAGTTCCCCCTTGGACATCTGCGTCAATTAAACCCCATCCACCACCATCCAAAGCCTGCCAGTAGACCCATGCTGTCGCGTGTAACCATCGAAAGTCCAAGATGAGATTACTTGCTAAGCGTTGCCCAGTAGCATCGCTCTCCCCGTATTCACTGTTCCAGATACGCTTTCCTGCATTGTTTATAGCGGTATAGAGATGGTCCCGTGCTCCGTCGCCATACTGGTAGCCGTGCACATTAACGCGTCCGATAGTCGATTGTACGCTACCGCTGAACGAGTTCCAGGTACTTAGTGCTTCATCATACGTGTTTTCATCAGATGAAGACACGATAGTTCCAGAGAGACCACGTTTGTCCAGCTCACTTCGTAGCTGAGTAATAACTGCTGATTGACTAGCAATATCGAAATGACATCCTTCCTGAGTTCCAGTCTGGCCCTTCCACCAGTTCGAAATCGGTTCGTTCACTGGCTCGACCGAAGAGAAAATGATTCCCCATGAGTCTTTAGCCCTCTGGGCGATATTGGCGAGATATATAGCGTGACTATCATAATTCCAATTTTGAAGGTTGTCACTTCCATCGTTTGCCCCAGATGGATTGTGGTTGGCACACATCCACCACATCGGGGAATTTGAGAATAGCTCAAAATGAGTGACGCCTCTCGCCTGGGCTTTCCCCATCATCGCACGCTGATTTAAATCAATAGTCCAGTTCCAGGAACCCGATGTAGTGTCGGTCGAAGCCCAATCTAACCAGAATCCCTCGATCTGTCGACTTGTGCTGATCGAAGGGGACTGCACCATACTAGAGCCTTGGAAGCTATTCCAACTACTGGCGCCTGCATTATATCGTACGATATTGAGTCCTAGGCCTGGAACAGAGGTACCATCGAAGGAAATCGAATTCCGGGTGAAAAGAATATCTGCGAGGTCATTCCGTTGGCCAAAGGCCTTCGCCCACCACGCTAGAGATGTTCCCCACCCCTCCCATATTCCCCAATCAGGTGTTGGGCTGATAGTTGTAGTTGTATCAGCGTTTGTAGGGGATAGGAGTGAGAGAAGCAGCCCAGATAGGATGATATGTTCGGCAATCATATTTATGGTCAGGTTGTAAAATGAGGGTTGTAGTAACTTGGAAGTGTTTTGTAAAATTGGCCGACTGGAAAGAAATGGGGGTTATTGTAGAGACTATATAGCGATAGCTACAAGCATAAGTAATCTTGAATTTTATCTCCTATAGTACAAATGTCTCAAATTTCTGTCGTGTGTAGTAATTAAATTAGAATAAAAGCTTTTTACTGGATCATGAACTTAAGAATCTGGAGCTGTCCCAATTTTTTCAGCTGGTAACTTCTGAAAAACTCTTTTGCAGCGATAAACCCTTGAATAAACTCAAATTTAGTTCAAATTCCCGTCACAGGGACTCAACCTTGAAAATTTGAAGTTTTTAGTATTCTTATCTATTGTTTAGGATGTCATGTTAGGGCGGCGGGGCTTTAACTCTATTGGATTAAGAGAGAAACAATCTCTTTAATAAACTTTGTAGTATAGCTCTAAGGTTTGATTGTAGATAATACCTGGTCGTTAATCTGCTCGTACTTAATGGGTTGGAAAGTTGCCTGCTTACTTTTTTTTAATCATTCTAATAGTGTACGTGCTTGCTAGCTCGCTGCCACTAGGTAGGTTCTTACCAGGGCTCGAACTGAGTAGTACCGATACTCTCCAGAGAGGTCCATGGGACAGATAATGCTTTAAAGTACTCGGTGTTCTATCGGCTAATTGAAAATTTCCGGTCCGCAAGTTCGGAATATTGATCACCTCCCTGCTAAAATTGACCACTGCGTCTCGCCAATTGTGATTGCGAAGGTCTGTTCGCGGCTAAAGAGTAGAACTATCGAAAAAAGTTTGTAAAGTCAAAGATACGATAACGTGGTTTATCATCGAATCGATCATATTATCGAATGAATCATTTTAAAAAATATCAAAATTGGCCTTTTTCTAACAACGTAACTTATATAAATCGAGTTATATAAGGAACAGGATTATATTTAGCGTATTACTAACTTCAAACCTCAATTTTTTTTTATCATACATATCAAATTATTTTTAATTCTTTTCAAATTGAAAAAAAATAGAATACTATTATTATATTTTAATTAAAGAAATTTAAATTAATTAGAAAGACTATAGAATAATTTAACGCTTTTAAGTTAATTTCTATAACTAAAATTATTAAAAGAACATTACATATTTAATTTTATAAAATAATTTCAATTTTTTCAAATACAAAAGAAAATATTTTTATATAATGGATTTTATATATACAATGTAAACTATCTCATCTTAATAAAACTTCAGCTTCTCGTCGGCAATCGTTAAAGAATAGTAGTTCCAGGCGTTATTATGACAGATTGACCTAAGAACGATGTCTAAATTTTTATTCAAACTAATATAGTTCACCTTGGAAAATTACGTTACTTGTCAGTCAGAAACCGCTCCACCCCCGGGGCGAAGTATATACCTCTCTCTGACTGTTTGTAATTCTTAGAGTTTAAGATTGAAAGCAAATTGACCTAGCTTTCAGGCACAGTTTTTCGGAGCATAAGTTAGTCAACACAGAAACCAGTTCTCAGAATCGTGGCGTCACGGGCCAAAAGCCCCACAACGTAACTCGATTTTATGATCCTGGGAGTAATATATACTGTGCTCAAGGCTTCGGTGAGAAAGTATAATATACGGAGCTGATAACGCTTTTATTTACTCCAGTATAATTTCCGTAAGCTAATAAAGTATATTATTACTTTATTACTTTATTATAGCATATAAAAGACAGAACATATATAGATAAATAATTTATTACCCTTCCTGCGCTTAAACAAATAATTTCGACGCTTAAATAGCGAAAGTTTTTAAAGATATAATTGAATACTAGTTTTTGTCTCGTGCTTAATGATGAGAAAATTCAAAGGATAGTATAGCCGTTACAGGCTATAAAATACGAGAGCCCGCAGCGCCCGCGGATTCCGGGCTAACGGTGTCACCCGCGCATGTTAGGGTTGATCCACTTTACCACTAACCCACAAAAGCGTGGAGTATTCCGAATATGTTCGGAATAGTGGATCTACTATATAAACCCTGTCAGGTGGTCGCTCCCTGACGGCGCAGCCTGTAATAGGATTGAGCGTTTTAATAATATATAATATCGCATATTCATCACTCAAATAAAGTATATAATATTAGTCAAATCTCATTATTTTTAGTATAAAAAGTAGGGTTTTGAAAGGAAGCTATAAATTTGATTAGATTATAAAAGATTGATTAGATCTACTCAAGAGTTATTCATAGAAAGATTTATAGAAAGGTTTATATTCTCAAAGTTTTTAATGATCTTATCAATTTAAAAGCCTAAACTAGTAACGTGGTTTATCAGTACGTGGCCCATATCAGTGGATGGTCCACTTTCACCTCAATTTACACTTTCAAATTCATATTTCTTAATAATCTTTGAATCAATTGATTAGAGCTATTATAAATCTAATAATCTAGGATCTATTATATCATTTTTACAGGTTCTTGTATTATAACCTGTCTTTCCACACTTGCTACAATATTAACTAAAGGATACCTCCATATTAGAATTTCCTTTATTTTGATATCTGTTACATCGAATTTGGATATCAATCTCTTGTTAAGATAATATATTTGCAGCTTTCTGTCTAATAAGTATTCCTCTTTAATATAATTGGGTTTTTTTTGTATATCGATGTTTACTTAATATCTTATTTGCTTTTCGAAGTGTACAAATCTTTATACTCAAAAGTGTATTCTTATGTGCTAATCTTTTTATACCTTTAGCTAAAGTTAGTATAATCTTAAATAAAGATATAGGAAAGTTTGATTGATAATAAGTTATTCGAGATTTAATTAATATTGATTAAAAGAGTATTTTTGTAGGATTCTAAAGTATTTGAGAGATTTAAGATTCTGAATTGGGAGGAGGAGAAATAGATATATGGATTCGAATATTTAATTTAGAAAGTATTATTTCAGGATCGAATAAGACTAATCCTACTTCTTGAAATTCTGATTTCATATTCTGATTTGTAATTGATTGTTAATATACAGCTTTAAAAGCTATAAAGAATTCGATCTTTGAGATATAATTGATATATGTGACGATTGCATCATTTAGAATACTAAGGTGAAGAGCTAGAAGAGCTCTTCGGAAGGAAATGGTAATATACAGGATTGTGGATCACGTGAGGACCTAGCCGATCCACTAATATGACAGGATCGTCACAATATATGCCCTTATAAACCCCTCAATTTGTATACCATACTCTTGTTTTAAGGTACTAAAGTATTCAATATCAAGAGACTAAGTTAAATGATTTGAATGTAATGGTAAATACATATATTTAATATTATTCTTCTTGTAATAATTCTAGAATGATATTGATTTATAGCTTTCATATCTATCCAGCACTAGCATTCTGTATTTGCCCTTAATTCGATTTCTTGTATATTTATCGAAGTGTTTCAATCATTCTAATCCTGTCTCATTATTCGTCTACCCATTACTTGTAGGTTTAATAGCTCAATCTACAGGAAGATCGGTTTTTATATACCAATTGAAAAGATGCACCTGTCCTTGAATTACCAGAAATAGAGGTATAGTATTCCTTTTACTATTACTATATATAATCGCTATAGCCCATTCTCGATTGTCTAACTGTATAGCTTTATTTTTGCCACATCTTTCAGTATTAATAACAACTATACCAGTACTTATCATTCCCATTATAAAACCTGTTTCATTGAAGTTCCATAAATCGCAATCGAGAATACCATATTTCGCTTGTATATTTGATATAAGTCGAAATCAGTTTTCAATAAGTATAGAATCTTTGTAGAAAGCTCTTTAAAAATCATAATATATTTAAAACGTGTCTTTAACTTTATATAATATTTGATAAATCAATAAGCCTAGAGCTTTCCAACTCTTTTTGTACCTCGAGATTCAAGAATATGATTCGTTATATCTTCCACTCTCTTTTGTTTAGGTGCAAAACCTCTCGAATCCATATTAATTATATACTGAATAATGATTTCCTCTTCTAGTTTCAAGAGATTTTGAGATTTAGGTTGAATTTCTGTATAAGGAGGCATACCATCAATTCTATATCATAGTATTGATCGTAGGATATTATATAGTATTACAGCCTTTCGAGTACTTAGCTTCTTATCTTTCTGAATAGCTGTGATAGCGAGTAATATACGGGCTTCTTTATTATTCGAATTCATCATGGGTTGTTGATAAAACGCGTGTTGAAATGAGGGAGTCGAATTGAGGTGAAAGTGGGCCACCCACTGATAAACCACGTTATTGAATATAACATCGTTTTTCAAATTTAAAGTAATAATCTCTTTCATTTCTTTATAAATATTTATAAGAAAATCTTTTGTTTAGGGTTATTATATAATCAACTCCACTTTTCTTCTTTAATTAATTCAAACGACAATATAAAAATATTAGAAAAAACTAAGGAATACAATTCAAACTGATAATATATTTGCTATGGGAATTAATAAAGGGATATTAAATTGATAAAAATATAATACTTCTTATAGTCAATATCCTTAGGAAATTAGCTAACGAAAAGGATTTGTTAATTCTAGTCTATTAATTCAAAGAATATATACTACAAGTTGAGGGCCTTATAAAATTATTATCTTACTATTTCAATATTATAAAGTTGATACTAAGCAAGATATAATTACTAAGAAGTTACGAATAAACAAAAGATTAATATATGAAAAGGTTGTTTGGATCTGATTGATGAAGGGATTGAATTTGGAAAATCATGAGCGTAATGCTTTGATTAGTATTTATTTACTAGGTGTCACGGTGTGAGCTCACGTGATATGCTGGTCCTATCGAAGAGGACCGAAAGGAGCGCTCGCATCAGAGTGCAAGCGAGCTAGGGCCCGATTGGGCTAGTTTGCTATGAAAATTCCATATATCTTTAACTCAGAAGATCTTGTATTATAGCTCTTTAAGCTACATTTTAATTCTCAATTTAAACCTATTATCT